TCTGCCCGCTCTGGGGAAGAAAGACAAACAGTCTTGGCCTCAGCTGAGGAGACAGGCAGGGACAAGACACAGCTGGGGGTTGGGGGACGGACCTCGAAGCAGCTCTCTCAGGGGTGCCTTGGCTTTGTCCACAGGCATTTCTCCATATTTGTTGCAGATGCTGACAAGGGCCCCATTAGCCACCAGGTCCTGGAATGAAAAGGTGGTTGTGATGATGGCCCCTGCCACCTCCCTGGCAATCACAACAACAATCAGATGCAGTACAAATCCTATGAGTGTCCTGTACTCTGCAGTGCTCACAGGATAGGATGAGGACTCCAGATCTCCCACTGAGGCTCAGACTTCCCACCCATCCCAGGGCTGAGGGCCTGAGTACTTACCTCTGCCACCTGATCTTGACCCCAAAAACAGGCATAGTGCAGGGGCACGTTCCCATGCTCATTGACTGCATTGATGTCAGCTTTGTACTGCAGCAGCTGGTTCCCAGGGCCAGACAACAGAAGAGGCAGAAAGCGCAGTCAGTCCCAAATGAGAGGGGTGTTGAGGCAGGTGAGGAGGGAGAAGAGTACACATACTTTCCCCAGTACGTTACAGTGCCTGTGACTGACGTAGGGAACGGAGGGGATCATACACACCTTCTGTACAATATCACGGTGCCCATGACTGGCTGCCAGGTGCAAGGGTGTGTCATCCCCACGGTTCATCACATTGATTCGTGCCCCCCGCATGATCAGCATCTCAACCACAGCAGAGCGGCCCTCTCGGCAAGCCCAGTGCAAGGGGGAGAAGCCATGATCGTCCCTTTGAAGGAAGAGGCAATGGTCATTTTTCTGGAGGTGGAATGCGGGCAATGGCCTTATATTGTCCCTCTGTGTACTCACCCCAAGCAACCTTACCTCTCCAGGACTCTAATTCTCATTCACGTCAGCAGCTCCCAAAGCTGTCCAATTCAGACTTCCCCCTGAGCTTCAAACGCAACCCTCAACAAGTCCTTAAGATTCATTGTTTTCATCAACATCTCCCTCCAGCCCTTCTCTGGCATGCCCTATCTCATTAAATGGTAGCATTCTTTATCTGGATCCTCTACATCCCTTCTGCAACATGTTGGTCCTTTCTGTTTCCCACTGCATCTTGTACATCCCCCTACTATAATACTTATAACACTGGATTGTAGAAATCCATGAATGGGCTGTCTTGTCAGATTGTAAGCTTCTTGAGAGAATGGATTGACAACGGGTTCAGTGCATGTTGGGGGTGCAGAGTCGTGGAGAAAGAATGCCACAATTCATGGGAGAGGGGGCAAACTTACTGACTGGCTCTGGTTGAAACTAAGATTTAAAAATGGAATGGAGTTTAAAAAGTTTTAGAAGGGTTTATAATGAAAATGAGAAATGCTTTTGATAAGCCATTACTGATGAGGCAGCTATCAAACTACCACATAAAACAGGATTCCTTTATGCAAACAATCCTGGGCCCAGAAAACTGAAGAAAATCAGAGTGGCTTCGTGTAGAAAGAAAACTGCTTAACTTTTTTCTTTTCCCATGGACCTATATTTTATAAAGTAAAAGAACTGTACAAAAAAAAAAAAAAACACCAAAACAATTGGGTGGGAGCAGGGCCTGCCTGACAGCCTGGGGCCATAAAAGGAAATTCCCTCAAGTCCCGGAGGCAGATCCAAGGGGCGGAGCTGGGGTTGGTCTGTGGTTTGGGCAGACTGCCTCCGGATGCCTTAGTGCTGTGGTCACTTCCTTGTGGGGGCTCTAGGCCCGGCCTGGAGCTGATCAGGGGTCTGGCCACCGCAGGCCAACCAGAAGCCCCCGATAGCCCATGGGAGGGAGGGGGCGTGGCCTTAAACGTAATGATTTCCTTCCGCAGCTGCTTTCATCAGCTCCCAGCCAAAAGTTCCCCTGGGAGGTGGGGCTCCTCCCCCTCCCCAAAGCAATTACCACCCCTGCTTATCACCCTCAGTTTTACTTCCCAGCACTTTAATTTATGCCTTGGCTTATCACCCTCCACCCCCACCCCAGTCTATGGCCCCAAAACAGGCCTGAGCCTGAGAGCAAAAGTATGGATAGGATTCTGCCCACTGTCAGCCGCACAGTGACCTCAGGGCCAAGACTTGAATCCCAGAGGGGCCTGAAGGGAATTCATCCCAACCTCTATCCATCATGTGGCCACCTTGAGCCCTCAAAACCTATCCCCTCAAACCAACAGCCTTCCAGTTTCACTGCCACCCCTTCACTTTGGGGCAGCAGCGTCTATCTGGGTGCCACCCCCACTGGACTTCGCCTAAGCCTTTATAAAGTCACCAACAAAATAGTAACGGTGCCCACTGACTTTATTAGAGCAACCTTTAAGGAATTATATGAATGACGGAACAAGTGACTTCGCATTATGGAGAAGTAGTATAGAGCCTAATGGGAACCAATGAGCCTAGTGGGAGCCTGGATGAAGATGACAGGTGATTCTTGCCTCTCAAACCTAAAAACTAAACTCTGCCAACCTTAAAAAATTAAATTTTAAAATGAAATTGAAATCCATCATCCTGAGTCAACATCACTACTGCTTTTCTTGTCTTCCAGTCTTATCCAACCACATCTCTCATTCAACCTAGCTGGCACAAGGCCCTTCCTCGAGGTATTGAGTCTGAATCCCCACCTCTAGTGCCCAGCAGAGGGGTTGTATTTAGTACAGTTCCTTAAATGAAGGAACCCTGTGTAATCTGGATCCTTCACCTGCTTTCCTCTGCAACAGCCCTCACGAGATCATCAGATAGAGCATTAATTGTAAATTCAACGGGTACTGTAAAGTGTTTAAATTCTTTGATCTCTCAGGAGCCTATACTAATGTTGACCACTCCCCCTTCATTGAAACAGTCACTTCTCTAAGCTTAACCAAGTTTTCCTGTTTCTCCTCCGGTTGTTCCTTTTAAGTCTTGCAGGCTTCTCATCCCCTCTCCTGCACACCCATGTCTTCACGTATCATCTATATGCTAATATCTCCCAGATCTGTGTCTCCAAGTCAGACACAGCTCCTGAAACCCAGATCTGCATGACCAACAACTTGCTCAACATTTCCACTTCCCTTACTGTCGCTTTAACATGTCTAGAGTGGAGCTTATCATCCTTCAATCTTGTCCATCTCAGTTAAAGGAACCACCATCTACCCAAGGGCCCAAGCCAGAAGCCTCGTCATTGTCTTTGACCTTACTCACTTCCCTCACCAAGTCTCACCAATTCTTTTTTATTTATGTATTTATTTGTTTATTATTCTTTTTTAAAAAATGTCTTTCCAATTACAGTCAATATTGTTTTGTGTTAGTTTCAGGTGTATCGGCACAGTGGTTAGAGACAATCATATATTTTACAAAGTGTTCCCCCTGACGCTTTCACCAAGTCTTTACCATAAAGATTTCGGGAATCTGATCTTTCTTTTTCACCTATCCACCCTAGCCTAAGCCGCAGCCACCACGTCTGGGATGAACCAGGCAACTGCTTCTCTTCACCTTGCCACCGCCTTCCCAAAGCATCCACGATGACCCTTTACAAAGGGACAACTTCGTGTCACTCCATGGCTTTAGAGTCTAAAGTTTAGACCCTTGTCCTTAGAACAGAGACCTTACTATAGCCCAAATATCCTCGCATGACCTGGCTGACCCTTGCAGACCTTTCCGGTCTCCTGTGGTTCTCCACTTGCACCCACTGCTTCCTATCCCCCAGCCACACGAAACCGGACCATCTCGGGCGCTCTCCACTCCGTCTTGCCTCCTCGCCCAGGAAGTTCCCCGAGGCTGGAAAGCTCTGCAGCCTCTGCCAATACAACTTGTACTCAGCAGTCAAGGTTCAGCTCAAACACAGCGTCCTCTGTGGAGCCCCTCTGCCCTCCCCGCCCCCCACACAGGCTGTGCTTGGCACTCATCACACTGGACAGGGGAGTCAGCCGCTCCCCCCAGAGAAGCACCCCGATCACCGAGAGGAGGGCGTCTGCCCTTCCTCGCACCCACCGGACACCTCAGCTCACCCCTGGTTGAGGTCGTTCTCCGTGTTGTCCAGCCACAGGCGAACGGCTACCGCGTTGCCCTCCCGGCACTGAGTGAAAATGTCGTCCATAGCAGCGTCCCGGCGCTCGGTCCCCTGGGTTGGGGAAGCCTGGGGACTGTGGAGAGATCCAGGGAACGGGGTGAGCCCCAAACTTTGTCCCCTGAAGTGCAGAAGTGTTCGTGTTGGGGATGGGGGTCTGGGTGCTGCGTCCCCAGTTAGTGGAGGTTTGGGAAGGAGTTCGGGGCAACGGGAGGATCCCCAACTGTGTGTCCCCGGACGTGAGAGAGGCGCGTCCGGGCGCGATAGGGGGTGCCTGGGAGGTAGTCTATCTCCAGAAGGGATGTCAGGGAGCGCGCACAGGGACCCAATCCGCTAACAGCTGGAGGGGGGGAGGGAGTTCGGGCGCCCTATTCCCTGGGGAGGAGATCGGGGGTGCTTCCCGGGGTTGGCCCTCGTTCCGACTCGGAACTTAGGCGGAGGGAGGGGTGAGGGCGCCCTGGGGAGGGGGCACGGGTGTTCCCGCACTCACCGGGACTCGGGCTGGAGGAGCCTTCTTCGGGGAACTCCCGTCCGGCCGCGCCCGCCCCGGCCCCGCCCAGCCCCTGGCCCTCCGCTGCCGGCGCGGACCTCCCTTCCTCCCGCCTCCTTGCCCTTCTAGCCCGTCAGGGCTGAAACTCGATGGTTTTCGGCGCCGCGCCGGCCGCTCTAGCCACCCTCGCGTGCACCGCTTGGTTTCCGGCCCTGTGCGCTCGGATTCCCGGAGGCGCTCTCGGCACGTGGAGAGGCGCGGGCATCCCGCCGCCTCACCCCGCACCTCGCAGATGTTTGAGGAGCCGGAGTGGGCCGAGGAGGCCTCATTGGCCGCGGGCCTCCGGCCTGTAGCCTCGCGGACTCGGCCGGCGGCAGCCTGTCCGATCAAGGTGAGTGGCCCCGCATGTCCCCGGAGCTGTTTAAGGCCCTGACGCGGATTCTCGTGGATCTCAGCGCTGGCTACGCCGCGCGCGCACTCCGCGAGTGTGAGTGTGAATGTGTGTGTGTGTGTGTGTGTGTGTGTGTGTGTGTGTGTGTGTGACCGACTGAGATCGAAGGTCTGAGATCTTCCACAAGAAAATGACGTTGGAACTGAGAGTTGCTAAGCAGAACTGAGTGAAGCAAAGAGGGTTTCTTGGACAGGAAAGCATGTGCAAAGGTCCTGGGTCAAGAGACCATGCATGTCCTACGAGGGTCACACACACAGAAATAATCCGTGTCCATGGAGCACAGAGAATGCGAGGGGAAGCCATTGAAGTCGGAGAGGTAAGTTAGTGGTTTTGCATATTTTAAGGATAGACAGAAGCTCATGGAGCGGCAAGGATTCCTTCAGAATTGCAGTGTGGAGACGACTTGAGCGAGAGCGAGGGAATGACAGTGGAGGAAGGGTTGCCTGTACAAAGGTGGTGTGGAGGGGCTCCTAAGCACCCCCCAATTAAGTGCCTGGGCTGAGACTGCCTGGCGGGACTTCAATCCCGAAGGCCCCCCAGACAATAGACCTCCTTTAAGCTTCTGCTGATGTGAAGGCAGCAGTCCTTTTCAGGCTCCTCCTACTCTCTGTGAGCTTCCAGCATAGAATCTGCCTGCTTTATGCCTCCTCTTCATTCCCGCAACCCATTGCTCTAATCCAGGCCACTGGTCCCCCTGTCAGCCGTGTGTCTCCTTCAGTCCTCTCTACTGCGGCTAGAGTCGTTTTAAACAGGTGTCGCTCTTGTCAGAAACCTTCTACCTTTTACCAGCTGGAGGCAAACACCTGAGGCGGAGGGTTGGAACTCCTGGTCTCTGGCCTTGGTCCTGTTGCTTGTGGCTTTACCACATTCCTCTGGGGAACCCCAGTGCCTCCTCTGAACATTGAAAAGAGTGGTTTCTCTGTCTTCCAGCCTCCCAAAGGTGGGGGTGACAACTTGAAAGTTCTTCGGGGTCTGACATGCTTCGTGACAAGCTCGTTAACTGGGAATAATCCAGATACTTTTGCCAGTGTTTGAATCAGGTCCCTATCTCTCCCTTCTCGTTTCCCAGGTCCCATCCATTCTCCTCGTCCCAGCTTTCATCCCTTCTTTTTTACATATGTATATGTTTATTGATTTCAGAGAGGAATGGAGAGGGAGGGAGAGATAGAAACATCAATGATTAGAAAGAATCATTGATTGTCTGCCTCCTGCACACCCGCTACTGGGATTTAAGCCTGCAACCTGGCCATGTGCCCTGGACTGGAATAGAACCCAGGACCCTTTAGTCCACAGGCCCACGCTCTACCCACTGAGCCAAACCTGCTTTCATCCCTTCTTTCTCCTCCAGGGCTCCAAGCGCCGACAGCTCTTGGCCACACTACGGGCCCTCGAGGCAGCATCTCTTTCCCAACAGCTCCCCAGCCTACCTGGCAGTGACTCTGAGGAGGAGGAAGTGGTGGAAAGGAAAAAGAAACGCCCCAAAAAGGCCTCATTGGCCAGTGTTTCTACTGCAGTAGAGGAGAAAAGGAAGAAGCAGCATCAAAAACAAGGCCTACCTGGCAGTGACTCTGAGGAAAAGGAAGTAAAGAAGAAGAAGTGCCGCAAAAGGGCTCTTGAAAGTGATTCTGCTGCAGAAGAAAAAAGAAAGGGGAAATGCCAGAAACAGGCGCCTTCAAACCCTGCCCAGCACCTGGACAGTGTTGACCCAACAGGTATTAGTGGATGCATATGTGTGTGGGGGACAGGGAGGGGAATCGTCTGGTCTTACATATGACCGGGGTTACTTCCCATCATCAGGTGTGAGGTTGGGCAGTTATTAGTACTTTCATCCAGGCCACAGTCTCTGTGTTTGGCCAGGATGAATATGCCGAGCCTCTGAGTTCAGTGGATCTTGCCCCAAATATGCCTTTCCATCTTCCCCCGACAGGTCCCAAAGCTTGGAAGAGTAGTGCTACAGGTGACCCATCCAAGCCAAGCTCTGTGGCCACTTCCCCCCAAACTCCCCATGCCTTGAGTCGCAAGCAGTGGCGGAACCGGCAGAAGAACAAGCGTAGACACAAGAACAAGTTTCGGCCACCTCAGCCGCCAGACCCAGCCAAAGTCGCAGCCCCCACAGAGGAGACAGAGGTGCCTCCTGCCCCCACTCAAGATGACCATGAGGCTCGGGCAGGAGCTCTGCGGGCCCGCATGGCACAGCGGCTGGATGGTGCTCGATTTCGCTACCTCAATGAACAGCTGTACTCAGGGCCCAGCAGTGCTGCACAACGCCTCTTCCAGGAAGACCCCGAGGCCTTCCTCCTCTACCACCGCGGCTTCCAGAGCCAAGTCAAGAAGTGGCCGCTACAGCCAGTGGACCGCATCGCCAGGGATCTTCGCCAGCGGTGAATGGGGTTGGGTACTGTGAAAACCGATGTTGGTCGATCATGGGCTCAGACTAGACCAGTGAGTGATCCCTCCCCTCCACTCCCAGGCCTGCGTCCCTGGTGGTAGCTGACTTTGGCTGCGGGGACTGCCGCCTGGCTTCAAGTATCCGGAACCCGGTGCACTGCTTTGACTTGGCCTCTCTGGACCCCAGGGTCACTGTATGTGACATGGCCCAGGTAAACCCCTGTATCCCTCTCTGTGTCTGGCCTGTGTTCTAAGCCCAGCCTGCATGTGCTAATCTCTAACACTCCCTCTTTCCTCCCTGCCCACACCCCATCCTGGTGTCCAACCTACCACTCGCTGCTGGCCTTCTCCTCCCCAAATTGTGCACCTCATACACCACCCCACTACCCACAGGTGCCTCTGAAGGATGAGTGTGTAGATGTGGCTGTGTTCTGCCTTTCGCTGATGGGAACCAACATCAGGGACTTCCTAGAGGAGGCAAATCGAGTGCTGAAGCCCGGGTAAGAGCCTCAGGACACAGGTGCATGTACATGTGCACATGCGTGCGTCTGCACTTACACAGAACTTTCCATTCTTCTCAGGGGTCTCCTGAAAGTGGCTGAAGTTAGCAGCCGCTTTGAAGATGTTCGGGCCTTTTTGGGAGCCGTGACCAAACTGGGCTTCAAGATCATCTCCAAGGTGAGGGCCCAAGAAGTCTGTCCTGTGTTTGTCTCATGTGGCCCTTTTCAGGGTAATGGTGTTCAGGAAGAAGGTCATGGGCACAGACATTTGCTTCTTGAAGGCACGACTCATGGGAGAGCCCTGGGAAGCTTTCTGAGCAAGGGTGGGACATAGACGGAGGTGTTTTTTTAAAGAATGGGGTGAGGAATTGGGGCTCACTGTGTCTTTTCTGCCCCTAGGACCTGACCAACAGCCACTTCTTCTTGTTTGATTTTGAAAAGACTGGGCCCCCTCGAGTGGGGCCCAAGGCTCAACTCTCAGGCCTGAAGCTTCAGCCATGTCTCTATAAGCGCAGGTGACCTCTGAACCCCTCTTTGAAGGGGAAGGCAAGTCTTGAACTCCGTTGTCAGAACTCCGAAGACTATAACCAGCCAGGCTGTGACCCAGGACCGGTACCACCCTTCCTCTATCCCATGAACGAAGTGTGATGAAACCCCTGGTTCAGCCCCGCTCTGCTAAAGGATTCTTGGTTGCAAGAAGCATAAAATCACTCAGGCTGGCTAAAGAATAAGGAGTTTATGGTGAGAACACAGGGATATCTGGGAATTATGGATCCCCTAGGTGTCATGGAAACTAGATTATTTGGAATTCAAGGCATCTCTGGGTTTGACTCTTTTTTTCTGTCTCTTAGAGCCACATGGGCTTTCTGTCCTGGTGTCTCCATTCTCTCTTCTGATCTTCTGTCTGCAGACCAGCTTCCTCTGCTTACTCATAGCTGCTGCTTCCTCACCTTTGGTCTGCTTCGTGGCTCTGGACAACGAGTAGCCCATCAACATCCTGGCTCAGAACAACAAACTGGGTTTCTGAGTCAGGACCATTGGATTATCTCTGCACTAAACACTTCTTTCCCCTCTAGTCTCATCTCTACCTTTGGGGCTACATGACCCAAACATGCCCAGCATCTGTTGTTGTCCTGTGGGCCCCTAGTGTGTGTCTGGCTGAGAGCACAGATTTTAGAATCAGGTGGGCCTGGCTGAGAGTCATTTAATTTTTTAATGTCACATTCTTCATTTAGAAAATGGTAGAATTCCTGTCTCATGGATTGTTGTGGGCCAACTGAGGAGATCTATAGCTAGGGCTGAGTACTGAGGAGGTGCTCAGTAAACTACAGATGTAGCTTATTGTGTGTTGTAAGCCTCATTCTCTAAAGACCTCCGGACTGGGTTGGAAGTTGGAGGGTAAAGAATAGATTTGTTCTATTCCTCTTCGTGAGGAAGATTCAGAGAACTCAATATAGGCCTTTCAACGGGCTCATTTAATAAGATATTTAGAGATTCTTGATAGAGTCTGAGCCATCCTTGGAGAGTGGTGGTGAGGGAGTTGGGTCTTTTCATCAATAACCATCAGTTAATGCCACATTGGGGTGGGGCATTGGGCTGTTTGTTGGCAGATGGGTCTGTCGTTTCTGCCTAACACTAGGTCCAGATCAGCAAGTCCTAGGAAAAGCTATAGGCAAGGAAGGCTCGTGCTGGAGAAGATGAACTGGGTTAATACATCTTCGGTGGCTCCTAAAAGGAATCTTCCATGAGCCCGGGTATAGACACACAACCTCTTGTACCTACTTCCAAGAAACACAGGTTTCAGGGCTCTGAGCCAGTTGGATGCCTCCAGAAGGGGATGGAGGCTTTGAGGCAGGCTGTTGGCCAGAGGGAATGTGTGGAGGCGGGGCTGTGAACCATTCGGCAAATACTGCACAGAGCCATGCATGTGCTCTTCTCTCTGCTGAATACTTGGCTGACTGGCAAAGCCTTACTCCTGCCTCCAAACAACCTACATGCTTTTTAGTCCATCACACCCAAAGCAGAATGAGTGTCTTAGCTGCACTCAAAGTACTACCTGAAGAGTGCAGCTTCGGCATTTAAACGCTTCATTGTGATTGCTGTGTGTGTTAGGCTGCAGTCTTTTCAAGTTACATTGATCTTGGTATTCCCAGAGCTTGTCACTTGAATGACAGGGTCCAGTTGAGTGGGATTGATGGGAGCAGGAGTGTTGCAGGAACCCCCATTTGGGGCACAAGATAAGGCCACTGTGATGATGGAAGAAGTGGGCAAATGGGAGAAATTCAGTAGATAGGATTGGTAAATATTAAGGGTTGATGAGAGAGGAATCTGAAGTGAGTCTGGTTTCTGGCTTGTACAACTGGGTGAGTTGGCGATGACATTCAAAGTGTTGGGTTTTAAGTCCCTCTGATGTTCACTTGGAAGCAGGACATACAAACCTCAGGAGAGCCCTCGCTGGTGTTGCTCAGTGTTTGGAGTGTTGGCCCGAGTGCACCAAAGGGCCTTGAGTTTGATTCCCAGTCAAGGGCATGTAGCTGGGCTGTAGCTGTAGGAGGCAACCAGTTGATGTGTGTCTCTCTCCTCACTGTTTCTCTCTACCTCCTTCCCTCCCACTCTCTGAAGACCAATGGAAAAAATATCCTCAGGTGAGGATTAACAAACAAAACAAAAGCCTCAGGAGAGGTCTGTGCTAGGGATTTGGGAGTCGGCAGCCCAGAGGTAAGAATTAAAGTCTTAGGAATAGGTAAGGTATCCAGAGTAAAATAATGAAAAGAGAAAATGGCTCAGAATAGAACTGAGGAGCATTTAGGGGATGGGTAACTGGAAATGAACCAGTAAGAGTGGCAAGATGAAAAGGTTGGGCCAGAGATGGAGGAGTAAATCCAGGAGAGTGGATTGTTTTTATTTTATTTTATTTATTTTTTTAATATATTTTATTGATTTTTCACAGAGAGGAAAGGAGAGGAGTAGAGAGTTAGAAACATTGATGAGAGAGAAACATCGATCAGCTGCCTCCTGCACACCTCCTACTGGGGATGTACCTGCAACTAACATACATGCCCTTGGCCGGAATCGAACCTGGGACCCTTCAGTCCGCAGGCCGACGCTCTATCCACTGAGCCAAACCGGTTAGGGCAAGTGGATTGTTTTTAATATGCTTTTTAAAATTGATTTTAGGGAGAGGAAGGGAGAAGGAGAGAGAGATAGAAACATTGATGGAGAGAGAAATATTGATTAGTTGCCTCTGCGCATACCCTACCAGGGATCAAAGCCCACAACCAACCCGGGTATGTGCCTGATGACCTGTTGGTGCATGGGACTAGATTCAACCAACGGAGTTACATTGACCAGGGCAAGAGAGTGGTTTTTGTTTTGTTTTTAATATGGAAGGAATGGGAAGGCTGTCAGCTGTCAATTGCTGTTGAGAAGTCTATTAAGATGAGAAATCAGATCGTGGTGGGATGAGGACTGCTGAGTAATGTTGAGAGCCTTTTTGAACATATACTAGTATAGGTATTATTCATGAATTTATAGTTATACAATCAGGCCAATGGTGTGGCTGTCTGTCTACTCAGGAATCTAGGTGTAGCTGTAGAAACTGAGCACTAAGATGATCCAGAGTTGGAACCTTGCCGTGCAAAAGAAATTAAAGGAAAGCAAGCAAAAGAATTTCAGACTATTTGCAAGTAAGTGATTGCTATACTGGGCCATGGAATTTTGTAGGACAGGTAGGAGAGTGAAAACAGGAGTAGGTTGTTACCCATGTTGTAACTGAACAAGTGACCTGGGAGGATGGGAGGCTGTGGTCAGAAATTGGAATACTTAAATTATAATTATTGGAAGCAGATCAGCTCCAGGTGATGGCAGAGTGCAGCAACAGTGGTGAGTGCCTGAGAGACATTCAAGGGAGGTTGCCTGAAGATTGGTTAATGGACTGAGGGCTCGGGTATTTGTGTGGGGGGTGGGCTGTTGTCTGTATGGACTTTGCACTTGTCTAGGATGGTGGTAGAAGTTGGCATGGAACAGGTGCCAACCTCTTGAAGGAGGAAACCAATCCAGGAGATCTGCAGACAAAGGGAAGGAGAGAATAATGGCATAAGTTTCAAAAGTGCTGAGGGTTCACACAGCCTATTAGAGACTCATTTGGGAGTGGAGCTGGCTGCCGGGCAGCTAAGATAAAATACCCTGACAGTCCTTTCCAGTTTTTCAGGACTCATCAGGGATTACTGGGGAGAGAGTATTGTGGCAGCTCCATGGCCAGGAGCCTCCTGGAATAATGGGAGGTAAGCCACAATGTCCAAGGGATGTGTGTGGTAGTAGGGCATCTCACTGTAGGGCACATCACCTTTTATAGCTCCATATCCATGTTCTTCCCCAAATATATTCCTAGATCTTGACTAATCTTCCCTGTTTTCTTGTCATGCTCAACAGAACAGCCGGGGTCTGCCCTCCTCCCTCTTTTGCTTTTCCCCCTTATGCTTCTCCCTTGGCCTATTCTGGCACCGGCCACCTGAGTAAATATCTCTCTGGGTCTGACTCAGACCCCAGGTTCACTCTAACTCAGCCCAGCCCCCAGTAGTGGCCCATCAATCACCCTGATTATGAAAGCAGCACTCCCTGAGCCTGACCTGGGTCCCCCCTGCTTCATCATCAACTTCAGGACAAGCTTTTGTTCAAGTCCTTGCCTGGATTTCAGTGTCTAATGTTGAGATTCTAGAATGAAGAGAGAACAATATATGTTTCTTTAAGAAATAGCAGTATGCCAGCTGTTTAAAGAACAATGAGACCAGTTTAAGGGACACTTTGAGAACAGAGGGAAGGAGTGGCAAGAGTAGTAAGAGGCAAATGAGAATGGGAGGGTTTGCCCTGTTGGGAAAGGCAGTAGTTCTCAAACTTTAGAGGGCAGTAGAATTATCTGGAAGGCTTGTTATAATGCAAATTGCTAAACCCTCCCCCAGTTTCTGATTCAGAAGGTCAGGATAGGGCTTGAGAAGTTTCTGGTTGCTTTGATTTTTCTCAGTGAAGCGGGAAGTAGACTTTGAGTTGAGAATGAGAATAGGGGAAGGGGGTTGGAGTTTTGAGGGGAGGAGAACATGAATATTGTTTCTAAGAGAGGGAATGAATGAATTAGGAAAGTACAGCATGATTGCTAGTAGTATGAATAGCACACATAAGGTACAAGGTCAGAAAGAGGATAGGATGGGAGGAAACCAGTGTAAGATTGCTTTCTGGAGAGCTTGTTACTGTGAGACAGAGTACACCTGGACTGTCAGAACCCACCCACTTCTTGAGGGGCAGGCTGTTTTCTGTCCTTTTACCCCAAATCTAATTGGGGATTACACTGGGACCATTTGGGACGCCTGAAGTATTTAATCCTACAGCCAAAAAATGATGAGCCTGGAGTCTGACTCCTGCCCTGGAAATGTAGAAGGCTAGCAGAGGCTCACTGACTGCTTCAGTATGGAGCCAGAGGAGTGCTGCTGCTTTTGCATTGGCCTGCATTCCCAGAATTTGCCGGGGCACCTGATGTATGAGTGTATCCTACACGCCTTGCAGGAGAGAGGGACGCATGGGTGGTCTTGGGTCCTGTCCAGTAGGACCATTGGAAGAGGCAAGGAGACCTCAACACAAAGAAGGTAGGAGTGTGCCATATGGACTGAGGAGGAAGTTGCAGGAGACCACCCAAAATAAAGCTGCATCACCAGGGTCAAGGGAACAGTGTTATGCCCCCTTTAAACACCTGCCTAGTCCATAGGGCACAGAACCACCAGTCAATCAAGAACTGTTTTATTCCCTGACCTCTCTGCACTTGGGCCCAAAGCAATCAGCAGCTATTAGGTGGAAAAGAGCAGAGATTATTTTGCCCGTCCCCATAGCAAGCTCTTGGACTTAAGTGGAACAGAGTTGGGAAGGGAAAATAGTTATAGCTACAGCAGGTGCAGATTATTTATTGTTGCATAGGATTAAACATTCTAATCACTTGGATTTGTGTTTGTATCTTAAAAAGAGCACAAGACTGTCAACTAAGAATGAGCTGAAAAGTCACAGGCTTGCTACAGCTCTTTTCCAGCACAGGGCAAGAGTACCCCCAAATGAAAAAGGTTTAGAGGGGTGAGAGATAAGTTGGATTTGGATACTAGGCTTATTAGCATCCCCTTTAGAGGCTTATTGCTTCTGCAGATATTGGTGAGCTCCAGCTTTTGTTCCTGTAACATAGTCCTAAGAGAATACAGTTCCAAAAGAAACATGATCTTGGCAGACACACAACTCGGCTCCAAACACTCAACCATTTCTGTATTCACACAAAGCCCTTAAAGCTTTTAAGAAACTTGTAATTAGACCTTTTTATCCCCATGTTGCCCTCCTTCCCGGGTGACTTCTCAGACTGGCCACCTGGTTCTAGGATATTTGACAAAACTGCTATAACCGCCTTACTGGTCTCCCTTCTACCCCTCCAAAGCAGTTCATTTTGCACACAGCCAAGTGATCTTTTTTAAATGTAAATCAGATTTGTCACTTCTCTGCTTAAAATTCTTCTATGGATGCTCATTGCTCTGAAAACAAAAGACAACTTCATTCCCAGCCCCTGTGTGATCTTGCCCAGGCCTCCCACTCCAACTGCATCTTAACTCACTCCTTCCTCACGAAACCCCAGCCACACGGGGTTTCTTTTCATTCCTCCAACATTCTAAGCCTTTTCTGCTCTGGGTCTTTGTGCATGCTGCTCCATCTTCCTAGAGTGCTCTCCCTGATGAGCTCATTTTCATCTTCCAGATCTTCACATCAACATCACCTTCTGTGGAAGAAACTGGCTAGGTGCTCACCAGAATGTCCTTTCCCTGGACAGTTAAACGCCATTTCCCTGCGCCTCGCATCAAGGTGGGGCAGTGTGAGTGGGCCTCGTCAATGGAAGGGAAGTAGAGATGTTTCACTACCAGACCAAGGCAGTTAAAGAGCAGATGAGCCCTCTCTGTATTGTACCACCCCCTCCTCCACCTTCCAGGGTGACCTTGTAGCACATGTTTGAAGGTGATTGAGTAACAGCATAGAAGAGGTTGGGATACCTGAGTCACTCTTTGGGAGGAAAGCTGCTTGCCTAAGAACATCCACATTGAACTTTGAACAGAGTAAACCTCTACTGCAATAAATTAATGAATTTTGGGAGATTTAGGGCAGTTAGCACTGGCTAATAGATCTTCTCTGGTCATCCTATCCACCTTTCTCTTAATCACAGAACACTTTTGTTTCCTTTGGGTGCTTCAAACATGTAATTACCTTAGCAAATACTGGTCAGTACTTTCCACCTGTGCCATTAATTTTAATCTTAATTGGGGGGGAGGGGCTGGGAGTGTTCACATCAGGAAGTTGAGATGCTTATTTTACCAGTTACATTTTGATTGTGACAAGAAAGAAAAAAAAGCCACTAAAGAATGTCTTACACTAGAATTTCCTTCCTATATCAGTAGGAACCTGAAGGTTAGTGTCTGTGGGCAATTGGTTCTGGAACTTCAGGATGTTAGCGATTAGGTCTCTGTCGTTCTCTAGGCCTTTTGCTTCTCATATTCACAAGATGGTATGTTTTTGATTAAGTGGGGACACCCAGCTTACTATTTACTAATACACCTCTTGGGAATCTCACTGATTGCCTCAGTCTTTTTGGCCTTCAAGGCTCCTTCTACATCAGTCGCGACCCTTTAATACAGTTCCTCATGTTGTGGTGACCCCCCCCAATTCCATTGTTACAAATTGAACATAATTAAAGCATAGTGATTAATCACAAAAACAATATGTAATTATATATGTGTTTTCTGATGGTCTTAGGCGACCCCTGTGAAAAGGTCCTTCGACCCCAAAGGGGTCGCAACCCACAGGTTGAGAATCGCTGTTCTACATTGTTAATACTCTGGTGTAAGTATGTTCCATTATTCCCTATAACAGGGGTCCTCAAACTATGGCCTGCGGGCCACATGCAAATACAAATATTGTATTTGTTCCTGTTTTGTTTCTTTACTTCAAAATAAGATATGTGCAGTGTGCATACGAATTTGTTCATAGTTTTTTTTTAAACTATAGTCCGGTCCTCCAACAGTCTGAGGGACAGTGAACTGGCCCCCTGTTTAAAAAGTTTGAGGACCCCTGCCCTATAACATGGCTGAGACAAAGGTCAAGTTCCATTCCCTGTCAGGGCACATGCCTGGGTTTCGGGCTCAATCCCCAGTAGGGGGCATGCAGGAGGCAGCTGATCAATGATTATTTCTCATCATTGATGTTTCTATCTCTCTCCCTCTCCCTTTTTCTCTGAAATTAAAAAAGAAAAGAAAAAAACAGGAGATCTATGGTTAGGCAACAAGATTTAAACTTGACATCAGAAGCATGATCTATATAATAAAAGCCTAATATGTCCCCTCAACCGGGTGTTCAACAAGGGGAGCGGGGCCAGCCAACCACCCACAGCCCCTCCCCTCAGCTGACCCCACCCCTGATTGAGATGGGGGGGAGGTGATTGGGAGCAGGGCCAGCTGGCCAACCTCCTTCTTCCCATCCCCCTGGCCAGTCCTGCTCGATAGACCCTGATCAGGGCAGGCCGGCCAGACCCTACCTGTACACAAATTCATGCACCAGGCCTCTAGTGATCTATAAAAGAAAACGAATAAATTGGACTGCATCAAAATGAAAAACCTTTGCTCTATAAAAGACCCTGTTAAGAGGAAGCTGCAGAAATAAATTAGTTTCAGGTGAGCCACAGTGTGCTAATCAATGACATTTTTGGTCTTTGAATTATTAGTGCATATAGTGTACAGAGTCGGGCACAAATTTCCTCATCAGTTTAGATATGCAAATAAAATTCAGCTCCTTTCTCAATTACTGATTTTCTTCACAAGTCTCACTTCTGTCCTGCACTCCATCAAAGAGTGGAAAAGCTAGAAATAAATTTAATAGTCTCTAGGTTTCATCTATCCTTTTTGAAATAAATACTCAAAAACTCAAATTCCTCCATTCTACCTCTGCTTCTCTGCAAGAGTCATCTGGGTGTAAAGGGAAGGGCATTTTGATATCAGAAGGAAGGGGTTCCCTGGCCTAATATTGATTCTTGGGTGTGCACAAGCTGGAATCTTATGGATACAGTTGGCCCAGTGTCATACCTGGGCATTCTGCCAACATTTGCTTCTAAGGCTGATGAATCTGTCTTGTCTTTTTCAGCTGTCAGGGCCTGCCCTCACCCCCACCCCCTTTGCTAATTTGGCCTCCTTGCAACAACACTGTTCCAACACAGTGATTTTCTGCCTCATACTCCATTGAGCCTTAAAGCATCTCTACTCAGCATCCGCACCATTTGGAATCAAAAGACACCTCTTCCTGACCATACTGCTCTGCCCTCGTAATGCTCCTGGGGCCTCGCTAAGTCTGGGCTGCAAAGCAGTTCCCTTCTAAAGCCCCAGGAGGCAAAAGGGCAAAAGCCTCTTTAGTCCTAGTATGTCATTTTACTACTCTGTCCCAAGGTCCCTGGTCATGCTGATTTTGTCCCACTCCTCTTGCCTCTACTCCATTTATCCCTATCCACTGGGACAGGACGCACATATTTCTCCCCTTTGTTCTGTGTCACTTCCTACTTCCTTCCATTGTTTGGGACTTGAATTTCCTAAATAGGATTTTAATTTATCTGGCAGACCGAAATTGTCAAATCTGGAACATGTTTACGCAGTAGTCATTGTATTTGGACTATACTAATAACCTCTAATTGACTTGGGTTGGGCATAATTCAAGAATGAACTTCAGAGAATGGTGTGGATTTGTAGAAAATATTCTGTACCAACCAATTTCAGATAGTTTTACAGGTACCTCATCACTCTTTGCTCCCACTGGAGGGTATATAGAAGTGATGGTAAACATGGGTAGAGTTCATTTATCCAAAAGGACTTCTTCAATATTCTGCTAATCTCCTTGCCTGGAGGAACAGGCATGCCTCTGGTTGACCACAGGAAAGAAAAAGAAATGGCTTCTGAGGAAAGTGGAGGCTTTTGCTCTGTTTCGTCTCTTGTTCCAAGGCATCAGTTGCACCACAGTCACTGTGAGTGGGTGACTGTGAAGAGGTTGTGCTCTGACACCCATTACATACTTGATTTGCATTTCCTCCTACCATGTAGCTTATCCTAGCCAGAGGGAGATGAGTTGTACCTGGTAAATTTGGGTGCTGGGGGCAAGGAGAGGACACCCATGTAGGTCTTTAGCTTTGCCATACTTTAACCCAATTTTTACCTGAGAAGTTTGCTCTGGGATAGTTTGTAAGTAATCACATAACTATTAATAACTAAACGTATTAACGTAGAACTCAATTCCTAACTCCTAACCTGTTTCTCTCTCAGATTGCCCATCTCAGTTAATAACATCACGATCCACCCAGTTGCTCACACCTAAAATCTAGGACTCATCCCAGATTTGCCCTCTTCCCTCGCTCTTCACATCTAACCCATCAGCAAGTCCTGCTGGCTTTGCCTCCAGAATATTTCCTAAATACATTCATTCTTCGTCTCCACTGTTATGACTCTTGTCCAGAATTCATCATCTCTTACTTGAATTACTTCAAGAGCCTTCAAACAAATCTTCCTCCTTGTTACCTGGATTTTCTCCCACCATAGAACAGCCAGGGTCATCTTTGAAAAATTCGGATTAGATCATGTCATCTCCCACCTAATACTCTCCGATAGATTTCTCCTTATGCTCTTAGAAAATACAAGTATATTGCCATGAAAAAGCTCTGTGTGACACCCCCTCTCCATACCTTTCCATCCTTTGGCTCACTCTGCCCCTCACTGACCATGTTCTAGCTACACGTTCTGGTCCTTGAACACCCCAGGCTTGCTTTGCCTCAAGATCTTTGTACCTGCCCGGCCAGCGTGGCTCAGTGATTGAGCATCAACCTATGAACCAGGAGGTTGCAGTCAATTCCTGGTCAGGACACATGCCCACATTGCGGGCTCGATCCCCAGTGTGGGGTGTGCAGGAGGCAGCCGATCAATGATTCTCATCATTGACGTTTCTCTCTCTCTCTTCCCCTTTCCTTTCCTCTCTGAAATCAATAAAAATATATTTTTAAAAAGACATTTAAAGAAAAAAACACCTTTATACCAACCGAGCACTGTACTGGAAACAACCCTTCCTTTTAAATATACCACCCAAACTGTATTAACTGCTCCCCTCTAATCACCCTCTAACATATTAGCCTACTTTATTTTCCTTATAGCACTTAAAAATCATCAGATTCAACTTATTTATATGTTGGCCTTTTTAAAAGTGTTTTTATTGATTTTTAGAGAGAGGGAGAGAAACATTGATGAGAAAGTAACATCAGCTGCCTCCTACTGGGAACAACCTGACCAGGAATCGAACTGGTGACCTCTTAGTGCATGGGTTGATGTTCAACCACTGAGCCACACAGGCCGGCCTATGTTGGCCTTTTATTGTCTGTTTCTATTAGAACAACCTCATTAGTGCCTGGAAGAGCACCTGTTCAAAGGGGCACTCAACAAATAATTGTTGAACAGATATAGGACCTTGTATCTTATTTTGCTTGTTTTGGGGGTGTATGGCTCACTCAGAGAATCCATCGCAGAGGAAGAGATGACTGGTAGGGCAGGATTGGGTCTGTCCCAATAATACCACTAAGTGCCGTAATAAATCATTTTGAGTTCTAATGTTATCCCTTTAAAAATACCCTTTGTGGATTTAGCACAAGTGCTGAGACCACAGCAGAGCGCTGGGGAAGGACTCGGGATCCTGCGTGTTAGCCATCCCAAGATCTGCGTAGGCATGACCAATCCCAGGCCCCTTTCTTCATAGTCCCCATACTACCCTTTCTGTTGCCAGGCACACACCCACTTTCTTCTACCTTCTTGTGAACACATCTCTCCTCTATTGTGCACACTGCTTTGCCCTCAGTGTGTCACACCCTCAGTGTGTCCACACGGACATTCCTTATAAATCTCAGAACTCTTTCACTGAATAACTCCAACTTTATTTTGGTTGAGGGCTTAGGACAAGGGTGGGCTGCACACATGGACTCTCCTTTGAACACAGATGGCAGGGCTGAGCTTTGTGGGCAGGGGCAGGTACATCAGGATATTCTTGCTGTGCAGCCTAGCAGTGCCCAGGGGCCCTTCCATGTACACAGGACAGGAATATACAGCCAGGCCGGCAGTGGGTGGCAGGTCATTGGTGTCCCGAGCCTGGGTGCTGACGCTGACTGGAGGCAGAGGACTGGGCTGGCTGGTGGGACCATCCTTCAAGGCTCCTACTAGCGGATCCCATTGGGCATTCCAGAGCTGTAGTCCAATCAGCAGCACGGCTCCTGTCTCTGGAACCATGGGCTTTGGGCTGCTCACCACCTGGGGACACCAAAAAGAAGCTGGTCAGGCAAGGCTAGGAAGCTAAGGGGTCTTCCTAGATTGGGAGCAGAGAAGCAGATGGGGCCACTGAGGGGAGAGGGTCACCAAGAGGCCAAGTAAGATAGCTTCTTGGTGTAATCAGGAAGGTTGAGGGGGCGGAATTGGAAGTGAAGGGGCTACTGGAAGATACCTGAAGGTGCAAAGGGTTGCTGTTCAGCTCCTGACGTTTATGAAGATGCCTAGAGCTGAGGCCTTGGCCACCAGGCACATTCAAGCTAGGCACATGGTCAATGGGGACCATAGCAAAGGCAGCCTCCCAGCGCAGCGACAGCAGCAGGCGGTGCGGGTGGCGAAAGGCTGATAAGTGAAAGATGCGCTTTGCTGCTGCAGTGCCCTCGCCCAGGTAGTGAACCAGCAGCTGCCCACGGCGTGACAGCTGTCGCAGCCAGTGCCAGGGCGGCTGCAGCCAGGCAGGCGCATGGCGTCTCCAAGGTAGGGGTAGGCGACCAGTCCACAGAGCATGGGCCACCGCTACACAGCGTTGGGAGACGCACGGGGGTGCGCCTTCCAGCTGTTGTAACAGGCAGTTGAGGTCCCCCTGCAGTGTGCTCACCAGCTGGCTCAGTTCCCATACCTCCATCTGAAGGAAGCCCTCCACAGCCCGCCCCGCGTCGTACCCTATCTCCAACCACCCGGCACCAGGGGCACCAGACTCGTCTTGGCTAGTGGTCTGGGTCAGCAGAGCCTGCAGCGACTCCAGTGTCTGCTTGGCTAGAACCAGGCGCTGCCGCAGCCGCCTTTGCCTTTGCCTGTCGGTGTGTCTGGAGCCATCCGGTGCAGGCACCCAAGTGAGCGAACACTGTTGCAGAGCACGCAGGAGAGCACGGCTCTGGCGTCGCAACAGCCAGGCCTGGGGCCCAGCACTCAGCCCACAGGTCCTGGGTTCAGGTGGTGTGGGGAGTTGGTGCATCTGGGCCTTGCATTCTGACATAGCATCCAGCTCCTCTAGATCTTGGAGGTAGAGGTGAGGAGTGAGAGACAAGGTGGACTCGACCCACCCCAGACCCAAGGGAATAGGCCTTCCTCTGACAGGTTCAGCCACCTCCCCACAACTATGTGAATACCGCCCCCTCCTGCTCCGTTGTTGCCATGCTGTTCACATTCCCAGGAGGATGGCACTACACTGCTTTCCCCCACCCCAACACAGATACCTGATGGAGCTTACCTGGGCTGGGTATCAGAGTGGCCAGCAGATACTGGGGTGTGTGTGGTTGGTCCCAACTCCCCCTGCTGGGGCTCAGGCAGGCATGTATGAGGCTAATCAGGGCCTCCCTGTCCTTGTTGTCTCCCAGAGGACCCCCATAGAAAACCGAAGCTGAAGATGAGGGTAGAGTCCTCAGTTCCAGTCCCTCCAGTTTCCACCACTTCCCAAACCAAAGCGAAAAATGATGTGCCAGTCTCAGTACTCCCACCTCCACCCCT